TTCGCCGAGGATGTTGCGGGTTTCTGCCATATAAAAATAAATTGTGTATAGTCGTTATATGGAAGCAAATGAGACAAATAAAATTCTAAAAAATCAACGGCAATCTTTAGCGACTTGAAACTTGCACATTATTGTACTAAAATTGAATGCGCTATAAAACTGTGTACTCAAAAAAATTCTAGAGCTTCTGAGAAAAAAGTTTGAAATTTAAGGGAAAGTTTGTTGCGCTTTTTTGCGGTCTTTTAAAAAGTTTAAAACATGGGTTTATATGGGTTTTGTTAGAGAATGAACTGTATTTTAATTGAAAATTCTTAAAAACAAATAACTAAACATAAGTGGCAAACAATATCGCTTTGAAAGGGGGGTGCTATAGATATGTCCAATACTGTATATACATATTTACATGTGCACATATGTACATATGTAAATACTTTTCCGAAACGCACTTCCTCTCACACTTTTGCTCATTTGCAACACAAATGCATACATACTCCTGTACATACTATGTACATATTTGTAGCTGATAATTTTCTACATTTTTGCTTAGACTTGCAATTTGCTGGCGTTTTGGTTTTATTAAATTTTTTTTTGTGTTAATTCCTACATTTGTTTGCACATCTGGGCGTAGACATTGCTTGAGCAATTGCTCAATGTTTACAGATTATTATCATACATGCATGCAATTTGCAGTTTGCGAAACTGTTTTCTTTTTTAATTTTTCTTATGTTATATTATTCTTCACTTGATATTCATTCACTCATTTACTCTGTGTGCATATTTAATTTCCCTTGCTTGCATTTTTTTCTTTTACGAAAATTATTGACTACCCTTCATCAGACTTCACTTCAGCAAAACAGAAGAAATGCATACAAATTTACTCAAAATGCGAAATGCTTTTGCCGCACACAGCTCTTTTGTAGTAAATAAGTGTAAATAAAGGTTGCTTGATGCTCGTACGCGCTTGGATAGTGCGGCGTTTAACGCGTTAATTGCTGCGTAATGAGGACAGCAGGTCGGGTCCTGCCCACTCCACTCCACTCCACTGCCGGTAAAAAATCTATGCTTTTTGAGGGAAATTGTGTGCCTCCATTTGTTTGCTTAGCAATTTCTTTTCGCTCAAGCATTTTATGGCAAAATTGCAATGTAAATAGATTTATAGCTAGTGAAATGACAAGCACACTAGGGCTATTCGCGATTCGGTGCATAATAGCTGACAAATATATGCAATTGCAGAAATATGCCATGGATTGTGAGCGACCTTTATTAAACTGTCATGGCAAAGCTTTTGCAAAACAATTTTTGTGCATCAGCTTTGGTTTTGTTTATGAATGCAATGCATCGCATTTTTATGCTATGGATTTTCGGTATTGCAAATTTGCCAAGCCATGACAAATGCAAATGCGTGTATTTTGTTTGTGTATTGCAAATAATTTGTAATACAAATTTGCAATGCAATGATGCTAGGCCATTTGCACCAGATCGCGAATAGCCCTACTATGTTTTGTACATACATATGTATTTGCAAATGTAACATAAACACTTATCTTGTTTGTTTCTAACTTAAATGCTTTTTGCCATTTTTTCTGTGGATCGTTAAAATTCGTTTTACTTCTTAACGGCTATGCGCGCTGGACTAGCGTTGGCTATTTGCTTATGTAATTATTTTATTTAATTACTTAATTTGGTTTTAGACATAGGACAAAACAATATGCAAAAAGTGAAAAAGTGATCACTGCAGACATTAATTACAGTTTTTAAGCCGTGCGTTGTGTAGTCGGTAGCTGCGAATTAAACACAAAGAAAACCTTGATCATTGTACTGTGTCTTTATTTACTTAATTTTTGTATCATTAATATTATTTAGCTAAAAGAAGAGTTTCTAGAGGTTCATACATACCAACACACCGTAGAAACCAGACTCGATTCTAACTCGGACAAACACTTGAAGAGTTCTATATTTCTGGGCATCCCTTGCTGGGATTCTCTAATGGAGTAGGCATCTAAACCTTGAGGTTAACAGTGACAGTGCGGTGTTGTTTATAATTTTTGATCGAGAATGAGTTCAGCTTAACAAAAAAAAATTCCAAACAATCCCACTCTGTAACTGTCAAAATGTACAAACCTGTAGGGTTATTTAAAGTGACTTTGTCCAACCTCCAGCTGTTCGCATAGAACAGCGAACGACACCTCCTTTCTACGGCTGCAACTCACTGGCTTCGGAGTGTGCTCGCTGCTCCATTTTCGTCACTGCTGTTTACATTTTTGCAGAAATTGCCTTGGACATTTTCGTATTCTTAAACTTGCAGATTCCTATTGCTTCCCTTTATTTTACAATATCACATCGACGTCTAACTTAGTCCTGACTATGAGATTATAAGACGTCAGAGAGCTCCTTATCAATCAATACCACATTGATCGTGAAAGCTTTAAATCTCATTCGTCTAAAGCTGTTATATTACACTACGCTTTAATTAATTTTTATGTCTTTAACATAACTAATTCCTTTCTTTTCTTTGCAGATATTAAATTTACGGGCATTTCCATTTCATAAAACATAAAAAATAGTATTAGCATCATACTATAGAAAATTCATAAACAATTTTTAATCGGTAAGTTTCGATAATTAATTTAAGTGTTTTGCGTTTGTGATTGAGTGCATGAAATACCGCTTTAATACCATCTACAGATGATAGTTTTTTTTTTTTTTGAGTTTATTGAATATCTACAAATATTTGTGCTTATAAGTTAGTATGTATGTATAATATGCAACTATGATTGATGTGTCCAACCCACCGCACAACACTCACAACCATTTATTTATTTGGATTCCATTGCCTGTCCACTTTGCGAAGGTCTTCCGTTCATCAACAACTGTCATAACCTGATCCACGTAAATGACCAACACGAGTGCACTTACGGTACATACATACATACATACTACATACGTGTTTATTTCCATGCATCCAACCACATTGCACACATGTATAACACCACTTTCCGGTCACTTAAACCTAATTGTGTCTAAAAGTGCGGCTGAAGGTCTTGAGACTCATCAACTTGAAGTAGTAGAAAAAAATATATGTATGATTTTCTATCTGAGATGACACCAGCCACACCCGCTGTTCGCTCGTTCGAATTAAAAGCAGCTCTCAACAAACATTTTATGTGAACTACTCGGCGACGAGTGACGACACAATTTTTTTTTTCGTTTGTTCGTTTGTTCGTCGTCCGGCTTTTGTGTTTGTGTTTGTTTTTTTTTCTGTTTTTTTTCCTAGACAGCGCAAAATTTACGAACCTCCTACTTTTGAGTAGAAAACTACGAAATATTGTGTATAATAATTAAATAAATAATAATTATAAAATTGTACTTTGTTATGTAGTGTTAAATTTTTTTGTTAAAAAGTCAAAAGTATAATTATTTTAAGAAAACGTTGTTATTATTTTTCATTATATGAATATAATTTCAAGAGTTTTTGGCTGAAGTTTACTTTAAAAGTCTTTAGCACAAGTTAGCTTGACTTAATTTTGCCAAATGGGGGCTTTAGGATGCGGTAGAAATTTTAAATAATTTTAAATATCTTCCTCCCGCAAGATACAAAACGTAGTGTAAAACGCTGACATCACACTGAAAAAATTTAAATCGAAACAGCGGATATAACAATCACAAATATTTACTGGATGTATCCTTTTACTTTTGGTTTTGTTTTTTAACACTAAAAATAATTTACGTGACACAGAAAATCCGAGGTGTTTTTTGAGGTTAGAAAAAAATCCAGACGTGATGGAGCAAAACGGACTTCAGATTCGTGTTCAGCGACCCCAAAAACATATAACAGATTAGGTTTGGTCAAAGGAACCTTTCACCGATTTTTTTTGTGGACCTGTGTAATAAACGCGAAAAATAGAACTAAAAAAGTAAATAAGGAAACTAAAAAAGAATAAAATAAATATATAAGATTACTAAAAAATAAGTATGAAAACTAAAAAAATAAGTACATATCTATGAAGAACTAAAAAATAAGTATGAAAAACCAAAAAAATAAATACATGTTAAATAACACAAGTTAAAAAAAAATAAAATTAAATAAATGATAAAATAAAAATCAGTTAAAAATAAATAAATAAGTAAATGAAGAATAAAAGTAAATAAATATGATAAAAAATAAAATATTAAATAAAACGAAAACATGAATAAAAAGACAATACAAATAAAAAATAAGACAAAATAAAATACTTATAAACATCTAATACTAAATTGAAAATAAAATAGGAGCAATAACTAAAAATTAAATGCAAATTTAATTAATAGTATGTATTAAAAAATTTAGTTCAAAATAAATAAAAAAAAACTAGATAAAAAATAAAAAAAGTCTTAAAAATTTAAATTGAAAATAGAATTAAAAAGTACTCAAAATACTTGTTCTTCATACGACTTCAATAAGATTTTAAAAATAATTGTTCAAAAGAAAGGCTACTATATATAAACGTACATTAGACCGGACCGTATTTTTGCAAGGCAATTTCGAAAAAAAAGAATTGACACCATCCCACCTTTGTACATTATTCGGCGACACCTACATTCGTCTGTACAATATTTTTTAAATAGTTCTACTGAAATAATCAAAAAACTCTCTTAGCAAAAATTTAAAGATTTTCGGAGAACTTTCATTTACTGATATTGGAGTGGAACCTTAGGGTGATAAGAACTGAGTTCTGGTGGGGTTTTTAGGGTCAATGAATTTTGGAATAAAAAGTTTTATTCTCGTGAAAAAACGATATATCATACTTTAAGATCCGACTGTGAATGACGAAGATATGACGAAAAATGTTGCTACGTTCGACAAAAAAACTTGTCTGGCAAAAATACTAATATACATATGTACATTATCTATATACATGATTTTGCAACAATATGTATGCATGTATTTGCAGCTTTCGTCACGTTAAACCCAAAAAAAAAAATAGATTTTAGAATATTAAAGCTGGGGAACGATTACCAAAAGCAGCACACGCTCTTCAGTCACACATCACGTCATGCGCAACCAACCAAATGTAGAAAGCAAAAAGCGAAAATTTCTAATAAAAATTAAACTTCAAGTGCAAGTAAACTTTTACGTTAACACACTTTTAACGAAACCTTTAAAATAATGTTGGTAGTAAGAAAGAAGACGGCGATGAAGTCACGGCCAGCAAAATAACGCAAAAAAAATTTATAAAATTAATTATAAAAATGCACGTATGTACATAAGTATGTTTATATATACGTAGTACAAACGCAGAAATAAACCACCACCACCACCTTCGGTATCGCCAACGTCATCGTCATCACCAACGCCATAGCCGTGGCCCGGCCGCAATTGGGAGCGCTTCGCGCGAGTTTGGAAAGAGTTCATTTACCTTCGTTGTTCAGCATTTGCTACTCGGCTGGCTCTGAAGTGCTTTGGAGTTGAAGTACTTATTTTTGGTTGCCAATTTTTGTTTTTATGTGTTTTGATTGGTTTTTGGAGCTTTGCCCGTTATGGGGTGATGAGCAAGAATTAAGTTGTGCGAAGGTGGATTAGAAGAGGAGAAATTAAATATGATTTAAGTTTGACTGCGATCGTGATTCACGAAGACAAGGTATGTGGGTTCTTATTATTTGGCTCTTTTAGAGTTCTCTTCAATTCCTTAGGAGGAGAAATTTTGCATCACTTTATTACAGTTAGTCACTTGACTGCCATCAAAATTAAATTAACGTTTGAGGTCTCGGTCGCAAGCCAACGTTGTAAGTGCAAAAGTATCATGGCCAAAGCGCTCTACATACCAAAAAAAAAAATTAACCTACATGAATGTGCAGCCATTTACGTAGTGCATACTTATGTACGCACATACATATGCAATTCATGTCGACTAACGAGTTTGTTCATATGAATATCTTTACTCGTGGAAACATGATATCACTATGGTGGCCTTGCTGAGTGAGTGAATGACCAAAAAGAATATGATATGTATTATGCATTTAATTTAAAGTTAGAAGTCCAAATATGTAGACTTATTTGACGCCATTTTTTTTTTTTTTCCATCAGCTACTTGTAAAGAAAGAATTCGAATGAATGAATGTTAGGGTCGCTGAAGCTTAATTCAATTAAGGTGACATAATAAAGTGATGACAATATTGTGCGACAGCCGCAGCGGACTTGATAAAAGAACGCGAATGGAGGTTAGATTGTTAGAATTGCAATGTTTTGAATAGAAAGTATAAAAATAAATGCCTCAGTAATGAGTTCAATCCGCAAAAATAAATGCAAATAAAGTACAGGAAATGTGGACCAATAAAATAAAACATTTAAAAATATAAAGAAATATATATATTAAAATATAAAGGAATATAAAACACCTAAACTTTTGTAGTAATTCCTGATTGGCTTATGGGTCATAATTAATTTAGTTCTTTACAGTAAAATTTCAATAAACTTTGTTGCATTGTATAGTATAACATTCAGAATATTAATAATTTCGAATACCAAAACGATTAATTTATTTAACAATGAAAACGCAACCGCATAAGAACAAAAGAAGTGGTCAAAACGAACGAGAAGTGTTTAACAAATACTAATTCGCCTTTGACAACAATTTGCTGGTTGCTTAGCTTCCTATTCACTTTATCTCAC